CAATAATTCAGCCATCAAACAAGACAGCCAACTAAAAAGGATTAGAATAAAACAGACTTATGTATGACAAGCAACAAAATAAACAGCCAATAATTCTGCCATCCAACAAAAATCCAACCAAAAAGGATGATAATAAAACAGACTTATGTATGACAAGCAACAATCCAGCAACCAATAATTCAACCATCCAACAAGACAGCCAACCCAACATTTAGGAAACCAAATAAACTAATGTATGACAAGCAACTATCCAGCCAACCACGAAGCGAGCCGACTAATAATGGAGCCTATCATCAAGACAGCCAACCAAAAAGACAGGGAACTAATAGACTAACGTATGACAAGCAACAAGCCATTCAACCAATAATTGAGCCAACCATCAAGATAGCTAACCAAAAAGAATAGAAACTAATTAGGCTAATGTATTTCAATCAAAAAGCTAGCCAACCAATAATTGAGCCATCCAACAAGACAGCCAACCAACAAGCCAGACAACAAATAATTAAGTCATCCAATAGGCCTGACAACCAACAATCTTGAGAACCAGTAGAATAAATTAATATATGCAATAAGCCAACTTTCCCACTTGTCCATCTTTTCCTCATTCTACTATTTGTTGAACTTCATTTATGCTCTACCAGTCAAATCTTCCATCCAGAGGTGTCTGCAAACACCACTTTACCTTCTCTTCCCGTCATTAAACCGACCTCCCGACTTTAAGCATCGCATGGTATTCATTATTTTTGCATTGCATGCGCAGTTTTCCACTGTGGTCACTCCGTGAGTCACTGCTATTTACCCAGCCGATGGTGAGTGTTCGTTTGGGCACAATTAGGCTTGTCAACAAACGACCTTTCAACGTCTCTGACCTGTTGTTAAGGCGAAAGGTGTGTAGGGTAAAAGGGTGGGCCAATTGCCACACCAGCCCATTTCTCTGCCAGAGGCAGCACTCAAATTGGCGTCGACACTTTCGATGGTCTGTAACCAACTCCGCCTCGGCCTCATTTACAAGGCTGCAGTGCAGCCAGGCCCTGGTACATATTGCAATCGCCGAATTGGGTGAAGGTGCCAGAAAAAAACTTGAACACATACCACGAGCCCAATGGAATTGGTCAAACGAGGCAGTATGACGTCTCTTTTGATTAACAATGACGAGCTTAAGTCATGACAACAAAAATCAATTCTCGTGCAAAAGAGCACAGGACGTAATGACTAATATTGCGAAAAAAGTTAGGTTTTGAGGTCTCTATTGTTTCCTCATTCTTGAGCTTACTTCCATTCCGAGTGAGTGTGGGGTAACTACGTTGAAACATGGCAGCATGGCAACAATAGTTTAGCTACTTTCTTCTTCTTAAATAACCGCATTTATTTGAATGTTATGTTGAAAATGGAGATAGAGAGAGACTATAATTTACCTTATTTTTGGATGTTTTACTGAACAGGTCGAAAGAGTAGTTAAGCCAGCATGCATATAAACCCAACACATGCTGATCCATTACTTAAATTTGTATAAGAGCATAGTTACAAAACAAGGATTAGCGCTTTTAAAATCTATGATTATACGGAGCACAAGACTAGCCGACAGATAAGCCGTTGTGGTAATGAACTGAACTGGCTTAAGCCAACATTTCTTGGGAATAATTAAAAATAGTGTTGCGTCAATAAAGAATACCTTTTTTAATGGTGAATACGCAAGGAGAGATGAGAAGACCTTTCGCCATATTGTGTCTGTACCATCGAGCATGTTCTCAAAAGAATAGGCGAACTAATAAGAAAGTGGGCAAACTAGGACACTTTATTGAGCTATGCCCACTATCCAGTTGGGGTTGGTATGGCATAATGTGTTGATATGGTATCTGTTATGTTGGGGAGACATGCCGTCGCATTCGACAAACATTGGCTGAGCACAAAGGCGCATGTAAAGGCGGTTGGGTTCAAAGTTCAGAGGCACCAGAGCAGACGGCAGAAAGTGGACTTGAAATTGAATTGTCTCAAACCTCTCGATTTGCTGATTATGGTAGGTCTGCGGCTAAACTTAAAACTGGAAATCGGTTGACCTCGTTGTCGCAACTTGGTCTTGTTGTCAGAGCGACTTAGTAGTCCGCAGTCGTCGTCGAAAGAGAGGGGTCGGGGTGAATAGCAAGTGTGAATGGGCCAGACAAGATTTGCCACAATAGGGCACACATTTCGACGAGTGGAATGTAAACAAGTGAGAAGTTGTGATGTGGCGGCAGTGGAATAAGAGGGTAAAGAGTGGATAGATAGGCCAGGACAGAAAGATGAGTGATAGTGTCGAGGGCTTGACTAGGTCATAGCTTGGTGGGGAGAATGGTAAAACTAACTGATGATGTCGGTGAAACGTCTGAGAATGTACCAACTCCACTGTCTGATGCTGGGAATCATGACAACTACTATGACAGACGACTTCGGACTAGGTGCGCCCTCCTAAGTCGCCCTGACAACAAGACTAAGTTACCATAACGAGATCAACCCACTTTTATAAATCGAAAGGATACTGCCACCATACCAGAGTCGACAACATCTTGATCTTCATATCCTTAATGCGAATCAGAACCTAGGCACAAAAGAGCACATCTTTTGTGGAATATAAACATATCCGACGTTGCGATAGGACGAGGGAGAGACTAGAGAGTAGGAAATGAGGAGTGATGGCATAACCGTCTCGACATAAAGTTGGTCACTTGTCTCTTTGACGAGTTGTAGCTTCGTTGCTGAGATTGGCAAGACTCACTGACGATGCTGTCGAAACGTCGGGACATTGTAAAGTCCACGGTCTGACTGGAGATTATCATGCATACTATGGACTCTGGACAAGATGCGATCTTCCAGGTCTTCCTGCTAATAAGACCAAGTTACAAAATTAAGGTCAAACAGCTTCTATACAACGAAAGAAGACCGTGAGAAAACAAAAGACAATAACATCCTGGTCTTCATACCTTCGATTAAATTTTTATGTTGGATCTCTCAGTAATGTATGTTTCAGTGTCATTTTAATGAACCAGCCATATTCGAGGATTCAGAGCAGATGACGCTCATATCCATGTCCATTCTTCTGCTTAAGTAATCGATTCGAGGATAGAGAGTCTGTTGAGCCGCCTGCAAACAGGAAGCGACTCAACTTGTTTCTTTTCTTCATGCCTTGGTTCCAACCGCGCTCACTTTTCTGTATTTTATAGACGTCACATGAAAAGAAGAAGCTCATCAACGTAACCAGAAAAGTATCCGACCTTGAGAAATCGGGGTGATGGTTTTTATTTTTATTTTTTCACACGACCTTGCTATCCCAAAAGGAATTATTATCCGAGGACGCTTGTTAAATGTTTGCATCTATGATTTATGCTTACCTTATTTCGTTTAAGGTGGTGAAGGAGTGGTAGTTCAATTTTCCCACAATGATATGAGTAGAGCTGACGTTTCAACTGAATTTCACATCGCTTTCCCGAAAGGTGTTCTCATACAGAGTGGACTGCATTTTTAACCTCGTCTAGGTCGTATAAACACCCACAGCGGGACTCGAATTATGACAATAGATAGTATAATCTCGACACATTAATCACTATACCACACTAATGGTTCGAGTCCCACTGGGGTTGTTGAATAGACGTGGGTCAGGTTGAAACTGCAGTCCACCTCTGCCTGGATGAGAATACCTTTTGAGATAGCAAGGCCGTGTGGAATTTAATGGAAACGTAATGCCTACTCACACTATCGTGGGTAAATTCAACTGCCAGCTCTAAACGAAATAGGATAAATGTATTTCTTACTTTTTCCGTTCCAGTAACTTTTAAACATCACTGCTAAATTCGGACATACACGAATACATGCAAGCACGTACACACAAGGACAGACACTCTCAAACACACTTCGAGGTTGACATTGACTTGAACTAACCAAATCACTTTATACCCCATCGAAGAGCTTAGATATAGAGTATGTATACCGTATTTAGGGATGAGCCAGTGAGTTGGTTTGTATATGGTAGTAAGGAGGATACGTTTTACAACTGACTTTCATACAACGGACGAAAGGTTAGCATTTGTTGGTTGGGTTCGATGTAGAATCCATGTACACAAACATCTCAGGCGAGAAGGCGGTAAGCGCCTTGCTAGAGATTCTGGAGCGAGAAGAGGACATTCTGGAGGCAGAACGGATACGGAAAGAATCGTTAACACGATTGATCAACCT